TATCTTAAATACCGTTCAAGGATTATAATCCATAAACATTGCTTTCGCAGTAGTATTTCAATAGTAGTTGCCTTTGCAGAGTACCCTGCAGTCGGTATCTACCCGCCACAACTGTGATACTATAAAATGTGTATTACATTGAACCCTTTGCTGTGGAATGAATGTACTTGTGTATTGATTTGTCTTATTTGTGAGCTTCACAAACAGACGCATAAATTATAAAGATGCGAAAATATATATTCATTGATATTGATGTTGATATTGATATTAAATTTATACATTTATTAATTTGTGATAGATTTATGGATGCATTTATTTATTGAATTATGGAAATGTAAAAGCAAAAGCCAAGCCCAATGCCAATGTCGCAATCGTAGATAATATTTTATGCAATTTGTCCCCGTGGCAAGCAAATTGAATTTCAATATGGGCAAAATGCTGCGAAATAGCTGGGAAAATGTTGCCACTCAGCTTGCATGTGGCATGGCAACTGGGGAATATTTCACTTACTTCTTATGCACAACAAAACAGAGGAAGACGAGAAACTTATTCGCAACCAGGGATAAATAAATCTACATTTATATTTGTTACTTGCAGCAGTTGCAGCAGCCATTTGCCTCACATTGGCCCACATTTCAACTTGCTGTGGCATAGTTTGTTGCCAAGTACAAGTGTATGTATGTGTTTGTGTGTGGGTGTGTATATGACTTAATCGATAGCACGTGACGTTTAAGGGTGAACGACTGACAGATAGACGCTAGACAGAACGCGGGGCAGGTGGATGCTTGCCACACGGCAACAGGAACTCGGCGACGTCACAAAAATTGACTTTTTAAGTAGGCATTCTCAACTCAGCAGCTGACAAATAGAAGCGAGGAGGGGAGGTACACGGTATTGTAATAATGTGGCATAATAAAACTGAGTAGCAACACAACGAGCACCCACACAAGAGCATGCCCCACCAACCCACCACAAAAGCTGTATGTAAATCTTCAAACAAACATGCATATATACATATTTATATGTGTATATATGTCTCTATATAAATGTGCTGTGGGTGTATCTGTCTCTTTGTTGGGCTGTCATCAGGAAATGACGACATTACGGCATTTACAGTTAATGCCTTTATGTCCTCGAGTATTGCCTTGCCTTGCCCCAAACTGTCGCACAGTCAACGCGCCCAAATGTCCCCCGCCCCTCCCACGCCCCCCTTCATGGCGTCTGCCTTTATTTTTGCCTTTTCATATTTTTTTTTTTGCATTTAATTTGATTTTATTGGATGTGCGGCGATTTGGTTTGCTATGCCCCCCGCCAAGGGATCGACTCTGCGCCTCTCTCTCGGTCTGTCTCAGTTTTCTTGTGAAATCGGTGAAAAACAAACTACTATTGAGGGAACGGGCAGCCACAATTTGTATGCTAAAAAGAGCTTTATTTGATACGCAAAAGGAATGTGAGAATTATATATAAACAAACTAAGCAGTGAGCTAAGATTGTGGCTCAAGTTATTTATTTAATTAAAAGGTTAGATTTTTTTTTATTTATTTAGGCTTTATATTATGGGATAACTTAAACTAAAACTCAGGCCTTCAGCTCGGTTATTATTGTCAGTTTTTAGGTGTATTGCAGAATTATGTCACGCATATATTTTTACTTTTGTTAATTTATTTAATGTGAACCAAGAACAGTTCCATTGAGACCACTTTCCTCCATCCTTTTATTGCGTATGAGAATAATAAATGATGCCCAGTTGGCAAGACTGGAGTTAAGTAATGGACTCAAAAGTTTCGGCACTGGATGCAAACTCTAAGAAATGCTGTCAGGCCACTATGAATAGCTGGTATTTTGTCTTTGACACTCTTGGCATGTAGTCATCTTTCATCGGATCACTCTGGACATATAGCTGGCATAGAAAATATCTCTTTAAAAGTTGAACTCATGCAGAAACAACGTTTTATGTGTTGATCAAAATAAAACCTATCAACTACGAACTACTAAATAGTACAGCTAAGGAAATAATGTATTATTAATATTATTATTGGAGCAGCAGCAACACTAATTATTAATGCTAAAATCAGATTGAGATTTGTTATGCTTTCCTAGGATACCACATCTTTTTCTCCTATATTGTATCTTTTCGTATGCCACAATACGATTCTGGTCCTATTAGGCACTCCCTGAAATATCCTTATAAACCGCAATAAATTTTAAGTCCGGCTTATTCCGTGAGAGCCATCGTTTAAAAATGTAGTTTTCATGTAAACTCTTCAACTGATAATAATCAGCTTACGTGCTTTGGCCATTTAAAACTTTTAGTTTACAATAATTTGGATTATGTCGAACGAAGCCCTTTAAATTTTATTGCTGTTGATGTTGATTGATGGTCGCCTCGTACTTTAAATGTATATTCCTGCTGACCAACCACAACAACAATAGCAACAACAACAGCAAGTAGAACATTACATCAATATGAATTTCATGTCATGCATTTGCGATTTGCGTTTGTTATTGTTGCCGATGTCGTTGTCGTTGTCGTTGTCGTTGCCGCCTTTCAGGCGCATTCAAAGCCACAATATCCAATTAAGTATTCATTTCGTTTTGTCCACTCGAACAGTGGACATTTTACCAAACAACAGCAAGAGGCGACACCAATACAATGCTCAGCGCAAAGCTACAATTTCATGTCATGTCACACACACACACACACAGAGTCTCCTACTGAGAGTGTGTGTATTCCACATACATGGCACAGTATGTCGCTGTCAGCTTTTGGACTTTTAGCTGGCAACTGCCACTGAACCCTCCATACTCCATCCACTTCCACTCCCCTTCGTCCCAAGCCAAGCTACAGCTACAGCTACAGAATGAAATATTCATATTTTCAGTTTCAATTCTCGTCCCTATGTCCCTCGCAATAACAAAAGCAACAACAAAGCAAAAACCGATTCGAATTGAGTCAGTTTTTTTTGTCCATGTCATGCGCAATTTTAAAGCGCCACCTGTCGACCGGTAGAGCGGCATGTGTTGTGCCAATTACAAATGATGTGTTCTACAAAAAAAAAACAAATATCGGACAACATCAAAAAACTGTCGGAAATTATAACGCTCATAATTCAATCAATGATATATGTAAAAAAGCATTTGTAAATATCCAGATAAAAGCGTATACATATAATATATACAAAATTCTTAAGGTTTTCTAATCCACCACAATTCCTTTGGTTTATCATCTGTTTAATTAAAATATTTAAAACATAACAAGTTTTTTGAGGAAATTAATACAATAATATCTGAATTGTTTATTTTAAAAAATATAGCTCATTCGTCATAATCTTATTTTAACTTGTCTTCAGTATTGATTGCTTGTGTTCAAATACATTTTTCATTGCTTTTAACTATATTTGAAGTTTTTATTATTTATTCTTTTCATATTTGTGTTCTGCTTTGCAAAGCACCTTTTTGTTGCTTGTAAAATGCCAAAGTTTTATTGAGCTTATTAAGTCTGGTCGTGTTTGCGTTTTTATGGCTCCTTGTTGCTCCTGTGGCTGCTGCTGTTGACCCCTGGGTGATCCTTTGTGGCTGATGCTGGGAACAGTTCATGAACTTGACACAAAAAAAAAAAATTTTAATTTGTGCAAAGTTATTGGTTATTGTATTTCTTTGGCATTTAAAACTCGATGCTTTTATCAACGCTCGACAAGCGCAGACTTTGATGCCATTGTCCTTTTGTCCATTTTCAATCCATATTCATTGAACTCTCAATTTCTTTGTTGTCTCCAAATTTAATGCAGTTTAAGTGGCACTTTGACAATTGGCTGGCTCGGCTTACGAAGAGAGACACTGCCAGGATATTAGTTAATGCTGCTAAATGCATCCATCCTGTGCCAAATGGCAACACAATTTTATGCCAGCTGCACACAAACAAAGAAACGCACTCGAGGAGCAGCCAGCAAATGCGCAACGATAACAATTAAACTATTTTAGAGGGTGCAAGTGTGACAACAATGCAGCAGCCAGCCACCAGCAGCAGCAGCAGTTGTGGTTGTTGTTGCCACACACACACACACTGTGTGCAACACGCACTAGCCCATAATTATCCAATTGAGTAATAAACAGATGTCTGCCAGCCTTTAAGTCAATAGACAATGAAAACCAACCAGGACTCTTCTTCAAACTCGCAGCTGCTTCAAACAGACGGGCAAATGTTGTGGTTGATGTTTGTTTTTGTTGTTGCAGTTGCATTTGCCACTGTTGTTGTCCGAACGGCGACAACAGCAACTGTCGCTTGTGCGCTGGTCAACCTGCTGCCAAGCCAAGTGAAATGATGTGCCAAAAACGTTTATCTAAGGACCAGAGACCAGAGAGAGTCGCAAACAGCAGCAGCAGCAGTTGTTGCAACAGGACATGATGCAGCACAGCAGCAAGGCAAACAGAGCCAATTGCAATGCTGTCCAGCAGAGGCACGTAACTCTGTTCTTTCCTCTGTCTTCTCTCTCTCTCTCCTCTCCTCTGCCTGGGCCTGGGTCACTGACTCAGACAGTCGGTCTACCCTGTTGCCCATTTCAATTGGCCTAAAAGTGGGTATGCTTAAGCAAGCAGGCAGTTGAGTGCCAAAATATAAATCTCATGTATATGCATACTAAAGTTTTTTATATTTTAATGACAATTTATATAAATATAAATCGCAGGTTTTTTGTTTTGCTTGTAGGCTGATTTTGAGTCTAGTTTGGTCTTAATCTTTTAAATACTAAGCACATTTACTCTCAGTGAGACTCTCACTTATAGAAACTATAAAGATAATATTACTAATCAGTTATTCATTTCGTCAATTTTTGACATTTGTGCTTACAGGATATCTGCTCGTCGTTCCCTCTCGGCTCGAGGGCCTTAATTTATTTAGCTTTTTGTGTGGCTTCGCTTTGAAATGCACTTTAAATTAATATTTATATACCAGCTGAGTACTAACTAATTTTTTGTTTTGTTTACTTTGGTTTTTGCTGCAGGTAGACAAGCGTGAACAATGCGCAGACAGTTGCTGGCTGAGGTCGCTGGCAGGACACCAACCGAAAGGATAATCAACAACAACAACGCACAGCAACCAGCTAAGCTGTAACAACAACAACAATTACAACGTTTTTTTTTATACAAGAAATGCATTTTTGAAAGCGATTATAAACAAAACCAAAAAAAGGCAATGCCCTCCATGCAACTTTTGATGCAAGCAGCTTAAAGGCGACTTTAAACACATACACATACACCCACACACACAACCACACACACACACACACACACGCATACATAAACACAACACATAAACACACAACTTGACTGATAGTTTAAACTACTAAATACAGAAACTAAGAGTAGCAGCAGCAGCAGCGGAACAAACCAAACATTTAAATAAAATATTATTAAGTAAATATTTGCAAGAAAAGTAGAACAACTCGTAATATGCCAAATATGCGTTGCCGCTGCAGCTGCTGCTAATTATACGCCAACACACAACCAACAACTTGCAACTGCAACAAGATCAACAACAACTCGCAGCAGCAGCAACAAGATCAACAACAACTCTTCACACAACAGCTGCAATATGGGCAACAAATGCTGCAGCAAGCGACAGGATCAGGAGCTGGCTTTGTCCTATCCTACGGGTGGCTACAAGAAATCCGACTACACCTTCGGCCAGACGCACATCAACAGCAACAGTGGCAGTGGTGGAGTGGCAGCTGCTCTTGGTCAGAAGCACAACAATGGCGGCTCGCTGGATTCACGCTACACCCCAGATCCAAATCGTGGCCCATTAAAAATTGGCGCCAAGGGCGGCGTCGACATCATCCGCACGCGCACCACACCGAGTAAGTAGAACCACCAGCAATACACTCAGATAAAAAATTGACTTCAAAACTAGAAAGTTATTCTTCTTGTTTTTAGAAATAATTTCTAAACATAAGCAATCATTTTTCTTAACATTAGAAAGCATTGCCCTAAAGCGACAATCCCAAAGATGTAGTTTTAGATATATTTTCTATTATTAAAAGATGCATTTCTACTTTTTAGAAATGCAAACCTTGCTTCTTAGAAAAAATCCTTTAAGAAATTATGATGAAATTAGCTCCCTCTCTCAACTGCAATATTAGAGTCTACTGTCGAAGGGACTCGGTTTCGAATTCTCGTAAAATCGTTAGCTTATTCTTCAGATTAAGTTATATGAATTTATAAACTATGTATAATAGTTTGTATAATCGTGAAATCTTAATAATAATTATGAGTAACAACAACAATTAATTATAATAATTCCTTCGATTTATAAACATAGAAAAAAAAACCCTTGGTTTTCATACATATTGTTCTCTAATTCTTAAAAAAACCACCCTTAAATTAGTACATAAAATAATGAGGGTTTCCCCCCTTGGCATGAAAAGCATGCTGAATTTATAAAATTCAGCGTAATTTTTTGTCTGAGTGCACCAGCTGACAGCACCACCCACAATTATAATTATGTTTACCTGTGGGGCCTGGTCGCTTTAATTAGCTATTTGAGTTGCTTTCTTTTTGGTTTTGCCAGCTGTTGCCTTTTCGACCTGCTGAATGCCAGTGTTTCTATTTATAAAACACACACATATGTAATTAAAGTTGCGTCTCTCCCCCGGGGGAATGGAGAGGTTTGATCCGACTTGTTTGCATATGAGCTGAACTTGTGAGTTGGGCTGCAGAAGGTCACTCACACTCATGTTTGCCATTTGCGCTAACCTTGACCAGTCAAAGGTGTGCGTGTGTGTTGGATGTGTGTGTGTTGCCTGACAAACTTAACTGCAAATTGCATAATTACAGCTGCACTCGTAGTCGACACTTGGCGCAAGTCGTTTAGGAAACAGCAAACAGGAAATGAAGAAATGTTTTGACCAATGTAAAAGCGAAAAGCAATTCACTTATTGCTATTAGCTTGTACAGTTAACAAGTTTAGTATGCTTAAATGTCAAGGGAACTTAGTTCCCTTTGGGTAATTTGCATCTAGAATTCTTGATAAGCCAACATTTTTAAGCCGTCAACGTCAAATGTGTAAAGAGGGCACAAAAATGTTGTGCCAAAGCATATAACAGGCGATCGAAAGCCACTACTACCACATGAAGTGTGTAAATTCTTAGCCGAGTAGATTAAGCCATGTCTGACTGTCTGCCTGCATAAGCAAGCTGGCTCTTAATAAGTATAAAATATAGAGAGTTCTGTTTTCAGATCGAAGAGTTAATGCCTAAACAAAATTGACCCATTTTCATTATCGATAACCTTTTATGTAGTTTGAAAGCAGATCTTAACCAAAGAGTATTTTGAAATTGAACAAACTGCTTACAGACAGACTGTCAACTATTTAACTTATTTTTCTACTTATTTAATTTTCAAAGATGTGTTGAGGAGGAGGTGGCCTAATCGCGTCGCTGTTTGTTTTTCGATTAGCTCGGGCATTTGGCTTTTAACTGTTGGCATTGCATTTTATTTGCGTTGCGTGTGTGTCCAGATTCAGTTGAGGGAAAGCGGCTTAGGTCGTGTAAGCTCGACAAAGGCTGAGATTTAAGCATTTGGCCCGCTGTCAGCATTTAAGTCCCAAATGGAGGACAAGGCAACAACAACAAAACAACAACAGCTGCAACATATAACAAAACAACAAGGCAGCAGTCCAAGTTGTCCCCGCGTGAACTAAATCAATTAGTCAAATGCACTTCAGTGCCAAAATGGGGTGGAAAAAACAAATGTGGTTTGGCAAGAAATTATATGAAATTGTATTGTTTTGGCCAACTAGCCTCGTAACTGGTCCTTGATGCCTGACAAAATTGAACATTTGCCTGAGACTGCAGTGCAGTTGCGCCGTGTCGCAACTCATTAACTTCCAATTAGATTCTGACTCGATTTGCGTGCGGGGCATGTTATATAAATTCATATTTGCCAATTTGTTGCCCATAAATTGCAGTTTAAGGCAACGACGCCTAGCCGCGCCTCGCCTCGCTGACGGCAAATCAAATTTGCCACATCAGCCTCAGCCAGACGAAAATTGCCACTAACTTAGCATCTATGTATTTGCCGCCTGCAGCCAACTCTTGCCACACTCACATCAAAATAAAAATCACCCTGAATTTTAGATACTTTATTATTCAGAAAAAAAATTTCCAAAATTGAAAGTTTTGCAAAGCAGACAACAGCTAAACTCTAATATCGTAGTCGAGAAAGTAAATTTCATCTATATACTATCTAAAAATAGTGAGAAATGCCATCATTTTGGGATTATCGATTTAGGAAAGTCTTTCTCATTATAAGAGAAATGTTTTCTTATATTTAGAAGTTTAATTATATTGTATTTATTTATATTTATATATTTTTTTATGAGTGAATCCCTTGCTCACCCTCTGTCTCTCTCTCTCTCTCTTTCTCTTTCTCTCTCAGCTGGCGTACCTGGTGTTCTGCCAAAGAGACGCGTAGTTGTCGCGCTCTACGATTATAAATCGCGTGATGAGTCCGACTTGAGCTTTATGAAGGGAGACCGCATGGAGGTCATTGATGACACCGAGTCCGACTGGTGGCGCGTCGTCAATCTGACCACACGCCAGGAGGGACTGATTCCGCTCAACTTTGTTGCCGAGGAGCGCAGCGTCAACAGTGAAGAGTAAGTTCAACTTGCAAGTACATAAGTTATATATAAATAAATGTGATGTGTGTTCTCTGCCTAAATAGCTGGTTCTTTGAGAACGTGTTACGCAAGGAGGCGGACAAGCTGCTGCTGGCTGAGGAGAATCCGCGTGGCACATTTTTGGTGCGTCCCTCGGAACACAATCCCAATGGCTATTCGCTGTCGGTGAAGGACTGGGAGGATGGGCGTGGCTATCATGTGAAGCATTATCGCATCAAGCCGCTGGACAATGGCGGCTACTACATAGCCACAAATCAAACCTTCCCCTCGCTCCAGGCCCTCGTCATGGCCTACAGCAGTAAGTACCACAGCAGCAGGTCATCAATTACTAGAGTTCATTGTTCATGCGGTTTCTCCTTTCCTCTTAGAAAACGCACTGGGACTGTGTCACATTCTGTCGCGTCCCTGCTCTAAACCGCAGCCACAGATGTGGGATCTGGGGCCCGAGTTGCGTGACAAGTATGAAATTCCACGCTCAGAGATACAACTGCTGCGTAAACTGGGTCGTGGCAACTTTGGTGAGGTCTTCTACGGCAAGTGGCGCAACAACATCGATGTGGCAGTGAAAACGTTGCGTGAGGGCACCATGTCCACGGCGGCCTTCCTCCAGGAGGCGGCCATCATGAAGAAGTTTCGACACAATCGCCTTGTGGCCCTTTACGCTGTCTGTTCGCAGGTGAGTAAATTGAACATTCTCCTCTCTATCAGTTTATTTAATATATAATCGTATCTTTTTGGTATGCAGGAGGAGCCCATCTATATTGTGCAGGAGTACATGTCCAAGGGCAGCCTGCTGGACTTTTTGCGCGAAGGCGACGGTCGCTATTTGCATTTTGAGGATCTCATCTATATTGCCACACAGGTGGCCAGCGGCATGGAGTATCTGGAGTCCAAACAGCTCATCCATCGCGACTTGGCGGCGCGCAATGTGCTCATAGGCGAGAATAATGTGGCAAAAATATGTGATTTTGGTTTGGCGCGCGTCATCGCCGATGATGAGTACTGTCCCAAGCAGGGCTCTCGCTTTCCGGTCAAATGGACAGCGCCCGAGGCGATCATCTATGGCAAGTTTAGCATCAAATCGGATGTGTGGTCATATGGCATACTGCTAATGGAGCTATTCACGTACGGACAAGTGCCCTATCCGGGCATGCATAGTCGCGAAGTCATCGAGAATATTGAACGCGGTTTCCGCATGCCAAAGCCGACAAATCACTATTTCCCCGACAATATCTATCATCTGCTGCTCCAATGCTGGGACGCAGTGTCCGAGAAGAGGCCAACGTTTGAGTTCTTGAATCATTACTTTGAGTCGTTCTCGGTGACGTCCGAGGTGCCGTATCGGGAGGTGCAGGATTAGGCAAAAACAACAGCAACAACACTCACATCACACACAAGAACACACATACACACACACACACACATCTATATATAAATATATATATAACGTTATATATATGTAACGTAAACATTTATACATATTTACTATAATTCTTAAGACTTTTTAAAATGGCAAGGCATTAGTTGCATACACAACAACAAACAACAACAACAGTAACATATAAAGTTTACATAATTCTATATGTATATGGTATACATATATATATAATATGGTATATTATATATATTGTGTATAAGCGTATATATGATGAAGAATTTCGGTGGAAATGCAACATTTTATATTTTACACGCAAAAACTATTTTATAATTTATATACCAACTACTTGTATGTACTATTGAAATAGCAAGTATTTAACTAGTTTTGTAAGCTTACCAAAAACAACAACAACAAGAACAACAAATCCAAGAAGATGATGAATAGGAACAAAAACAACAATTATAAATGAAACGAATATGGCAAATCGATTTATTTTTTCTAATCGATCGCAGTAAAAACAAAAACAAAAGCAAAACTTTACAACAACACCAACAAACAACAATTTACTATGCTACTTTAATCGGTGCTTAGATTTTTGTCAATCTATCTATCTATCAATCTATTTATCCATCGCAATTATTCTATTTAACTCTACTGCTGAATTTGATTCCTGATACTTTCCACAAAACTAAAACCAAGTATTATTTAACACAATCAAAAAAGTTGTTGGATCTTTTCAGCTAATAGGAAATTTTGCAATGATGGCATTTAAACATATTGTACGGCGCCTACCGATGCGCCACGCCCCTATCTCTACTTCCAAGTCACATCATCGTTTTCAATCAAACTCAAATTGATCACAAAAAAAAAAAATATTAAACAAATTCTTTTGCTGCTGCTTCTACGAGTAGTTGAGGCTAAAAAACAACAAAGAAAACAAAACAACAGCATCAGTCTGAGCAGTTGCTGGATAAAAGTCCTTCAATTAATTATATATTATATAAATTTGTAAAACATTTTGTATAAAACATTAGAGAAAACAAAAACAAAAAAAGAATACACATTTACGTACACACTTTTGTTTTTTATTAGTAATTAAACCAATGAATGTTTATAGTACATTTAAGTTTATGCCAAAATTATAAGAGTTTTTTCTTGATATATATATATATATATATATGTATATATATATATATTATAGCACAAGTGAAATTATATAAAATGATGTTAGAAAAGCACACTTTCAGTTGGGCACAGTCCACACACAGATATATATATATAATATATATATATATATATATATATATATATATATATATATATATATAGCCTAATCTACATTCTTTTACTAATTGCCAGCTCACATTTAGTTCCTCTCCAGATCCGCTCGACATTGTTCCACAATTATAGAAACCAAGTCAAACGCCATGATGAAAGATGATTGCAGTCTCAAGGGTTTCAAATGCAACAAGAAAACAAGCAAATATCAGATAACGATAACAATATTTCTTATCAATCAGTCAATGGGCACATACAACAATACACACATCTATCTTAGAGTACAGTAAATATATATATGTATATATATATATATATATATATATATATATATGCAAATCGTGTTTCTTTTAATTTATTATATTATTTTTGTTATAGCGTTTAATTTATGTGTTGGCCATTGTGTGCACATCTGTAGCATAAAACCAAAGTTTAGCATTTCGTATTAATATATATATATATGTATTTGTAAAGAACAACATTTATACGGCAACTTAATGCATTTCATACACACACACACACACATACCTACTCACACACATACACATACATAGAGAAGATAAGGCAGCTTAAATATAAACGTGTAGCAAGAAATCATTGCAATCATTGTATGAAATTGCATTCAACGTAAAATTAAATCTAAACGAACTAAAAATCATTACGATAAAACAGAATAAATAATAAATATTGTTATAATTAAAAAAAGCAACACTGAAATTGTTTAGCGTAGTTGATGAATTTTTGTATATATATACTTGACATAACGTGTAGCAATAAATGAAATTGAATTGATTTAACAACTAAAACTAAAACTAAACTAATATATAATAATAACAACAATAACAACAATAACAACAATAACAACAACAACAAACAGCGGCATTTGTGGCACGCAATGTGGCAAACAAAATAAAATAACAACAATTGACAATTTTTTATACAATCAAATGGACAGATTTCTAAAATTTTCCAGCCTTTGGGAGGCGTGCCGCCGGTGACGCCATCGACGTTGTTGTTGCTGATTAAGCAAAATTGTATAACTAAACACTGTCATATGTTTAATTATAAATACTAAATAATATCGAGATCCACTTGCATAACAAAACTGAAATCGAGTCACAAGACTCGCCCATAATAAACGCAAACTGAATTTAGCTGAGATGTGTAACGAAAATGCATTCAAATAAATCAATAAAATGAAAGATATGTAATAAATTAAATGTGTTTTCCTTGCCAGTCATCCTTGAAGTGTCCTTGTGAGAAAAAAGAACACAGTTTTCTTCTTTGGGTTTTACTCTTTTTTGGATACCAAAAAAGTTGCGTTTTTATTGTACTTTTTTTGTTTCTAATATATATATATAAGTATATAAGTAATATTGAAATCGTTTCATTTAAAAATTTTTCAAAGGCAAAAATTACAATACCTTAATACGTATTGCTCTTTTTTTATTTGTATGTATATAATTTTTCTATTATTTTTTAATCAATGTTTTAAACCTGTAAGCTGACATATTTATTTATTGAAATTGTTTTATGAATCATTTTAAAATTGTATTTACATGTGTTTTGAGCCAACTGCCAATTGAGAAGAGACATCCCCAAAAGATGCTATCTACGCAATTGCAATTGTGTATTTCGCCGAATGCGATGTTGATAAAAGCCAATAGCGACGGAATATTATCCAACTAACTGGCTTCTGCATCCCGTGAAACCAAACTCACATGCAAGAATATGTGTACTATATATGTATCAATACTATAATAGCACTATATAGAGTATATATAGAGTTCTATCTGAGTAATGGGTAAGCAGTTCGGTCTTTTCTTTACCACCTTGATTCGGTTACATAAAAGTCTTGGGCTTTGCAGCTATCTGAGTTTTGCTGTTGCCACCAACGGCTGGCAATATCCACAGACTGTATTATCCATGTAGATATATAGTACTGAGTATGAACTGAGTAGAACGCCAATTCCCTCTGAATTGGCCGCTGATACATAGGTGCATGCGACTTTTTTAATTAAATTAAGATAAAGTTATTTTATATGTTAATCTCTATACGATCAAGTAAATTTCTGAGTATTTAAATGTATTTAAATCTTTGTCCATAAAGATTTTTCGCAAATTCAGGGTTTCAAATAACGGTACAAATTGTTTTTTATCACAATCGGTACATTTATGTGTAGGTGTAGTGTAGTGTAGTGTAAGTGTAAGTGTATTTGTGTGTATATATATATATAGATTTAAGTTTTAATAAGTGTTAATATAACATTTACCATAAGCACTTCTAAACATCAACTTCGAGTCATGCTAAACAGCAGATTTACAAAAATTCAAAACCAAACCAACCATTTTCGATTATCTCAAGTTGCATTGGCTGATAGAAAGACAGACAAAAGCTATCATCCAATCCATTTTGATATCTTCAAAACTGGTTGGTTTTAGAATTTTTCACTGGCATTTCAACATGTACCCGGAAATGTGTATTTTTTATGTATGTGATAACTTTTTTTTGTTGTTGTTTGTTATATAAGGACGTTATATCGCGAAAATTCCAAGATTTGGAACCGGATACGAATCGCACTTATTGGTGTCTATATCTAAAATTGCTGGTCATTGTGTTCTTTATGTGTGTGTGGGTGTGTCTGTTTGTGTGCGTGTACGTGTGGGTGTCGAATGCGCTGCACGAAATCCTGAGCACCCCTAATGTACTGCTGCTTGACAGTATGTTAAGGCTATGTTAAACAACATGGCAGTGTTGCAGCTTTAAGTTGCGCGCTCCTTTTTTGAGTTTTTATTATTTATTTTCTTCTATCTGTTTCTGTGAAGTGCATTCAATATTCGGCAATGCCGAAACCATAATTATTTAACCATTTTACATGGCTGATGAGATTTGTTGCGTCTGCTGGTATTGTTGTTGTTGCTGCGGCACTGTTGGTGGCTGTTGTTGCTGGGGCGTCAGCGCCAGCGGCTGTTGCAGTTGCAGTTGTTGCGGTTGCTGCTGTATTTGCAGTGGCAGCTGAGCTTGTTGTTGCTGGAATTGCTGCTGCTGCATCTGCATTTGCTGCTGCTGCATTTGCATCTGCTGTTGGGCCGCTGCCGCAGCTGCCGCATTCTGTTGCGTGGTTGCCTCGGATGTTTTCAGGAAATACGTTATCAAATCGATGGGCAGCGGGAATACAATCGTCGAGTTCTTCTCAGCGGATATGGTGTTGAGTGTCTAGTGAACAGCAAGTTGCAATTAGTATACACAATTTGGCAAAGGTCAATGGAACAACACACTCAGAGAAAAAGTCAGGTTTAAATTCAAGCACAACTGAAACGTAACTCGTAATTTTTAACTACAAATGGGTACGCATCAATTCTAAAGTTGCAAGTTCTGCTTTACAAATTTTATTTCTGGCATTTTTCTCTGAGTGTATAGATAGTACATACCTGCAGGTAGCGCAGCTGCAGTGCTGCCGGTGAATCGCCAATCACCTCGGATGCCTCGCGGAGTGCTCGGGACGCCTTCTGCTCGCCCTCGGCGGCAATAACTTTGGCGCGTGCCTCGCGAGCTGCCTCCGCTTCAGCGGCCATCGCACGTTGCAGTTGCACCGGCAGACGCACATCCTTGCTGTTCGTCGTCCGGAATAGAAGAAGGTACATTAGCCACATCGTAACATCGTTGCACACGTCTCACAAATCGCAGCAGGCATTTGCACATTTCTTGCTGTAAACTCATTTAAAAACCAGTACGCGACTGTCGAGTCTCTACTACAGTTTTTTTGCTACTTGCCCAACGTCTAACGACAACAGCTATTATTAAAGTGAACTGAAAACTTCCAGCTTGCTAAATGAGAAGCGTTTAGGGTTCATCAGCCCTCGGGTCAGGGTCAGCCTTGGGTCACATTAAAGGTCATTAGGAATCTTCTTTTTTCTTTTACTTGATTGATATAAAGCTATGCTATTTGTGACAGCTTGCTCCACAGCAAAGTCTGCCAGTATAATACTATTGTTATGCCCTTGAAGAGAATAACATTTGACATTGAAGGAGACAAGATTATTAATATTCTTGACCAGCAACAATAGCCGGGTCGATGAGCAAACTAGTCTCTCAGCCTTAAAGCTAACTCAATTCATTTTTCTATTTATGTCTACGTCGATTTCTTTAAGGTGCAACTACATTTTAATAGTCTAATTTGCAAGGGTGTAAACTATTCGTATATTCACTTCTAAGATGCCACTAAATTGTTGTCTTTTCATCAATCTGCTGCTGCTGTGATCATAAAATGCCGACCATATTTCATTGAACATGCCAACAAAAAATATATCAGCTGATTAATTTCATAAAAATGTTGGCGAACAACGAAAAAATCGGAAGTGCCATAAGACTGTCATAAAAATGAAACAATTTTCATAGGCTCAACAAAAAAAGAAGCGTTGACAAAAGAGCCGCAGGCTGGCAGCCATAGCTAAGCCGCAACAACAACGATAGCAACAACAACAGCTAACAACAGCAAACGCGTCAAGTTGTTTTGGCCATTGCAGCTGTTCGCCATTTTGTTGGTCATGTATTTGACAAGCTGTCAAGAGTTGCAGGGAATAGCAGCTGTAGCTGTAGCTGTAGCTGTAAGTGATGCCGGAGGGGCGACGGCGGCGGGGAGGAGTCGGTTGGAAAAGCATCCCACTTGGCTAATAATAAATTACAACAACGCATCAACTGTGACAGCAGACAAAGGCCAATGGAGCGCCCCTCAGTCCGTGTACTCCCTCGCCTGTAATAAAATGGGGACCCCGACACACAAAATGCCAACCACGACCACCTACTACATTGTGGCATAGAAACCCTTATGCATGAGTGTGTGTGTGTGTGTGGCTATGTAGGGAGTGTGTACAGGTGTGTACGAGTGTGTGATAGAAAAGTTGCACTACTTACATTTCAACACGTTCAACTTTGATGCCCCAAGCATCGGTGGCTTCGTCGAGCTGAACCTGTTTATGATTTGGCCCACATAATGTTGGCAGGTAGGTGTAGGTGTAGGTGTATGTGTGTGTGGCATATGTGTGTATTTTGTAGAATTTCGTGTGTGTGTGTGTTAAAAATAGCAGTAAAAACACATTAGTTTCTGTTTACACACGTTTTTTTTTCATGCTGTTAACTGTGATGGTTTTTTTCACTCTTTTGCCTTTCACATTTTACATTTCACATTTCGCATTTTTCTTCATATTATTTTTTTTATCAGATATATATATATATATTTTGTTGTTGTGTTTTTGTGGGTCGCTGCAGCATCCTTGAAACCGCTAAACTGAAAAATGCAGCACTTGCTGGCGTCTAACGGAGTGGAAGAGCCAAACAACTTTGCCGACTTTGGCATTCTGGTCATGTTCGACGCCAGCATTCAGCTAACATGATTTTTAGCCATTTTCTTTGTCAGGCGGTAGAACGGGTTGAGTTGGGGAAGGGGGTGAAACGGATTTTGAACTATTTTTTTCATTGTGAGGCCATAAAAATAAATAAATAAAGTGCAGAGAAGCTGAAAAGCTAAAAAGCTGAAGCTTGAGCTAAATTTGGGTTAAGTTTTGGCAGCTGAGATGCTGCTGCTTCAGCGGCTGCTTCTGCTGCTGGCCCAAAGATATGCGCATTCAATTTGCAACGTTTTTGTGGAGATACGTGGATTATATATGACAGCTGCTGCAAAAATGTTTGCAATTAGCAATTAATATTTACAAAGTTTTGCTGCAACTCGCTGAATACAATTAGCAACAGCCAGTGCCAAGTGGCAAGTGGCAAGTGGCAAGTGGCTAGAAGAGAGATTTGAGTTGAGGGGGCACACATAAGTCAATTACGTGCTCAAGGGGGTGGGGGGAGGGTAGTTGGGTTTTTGCAGGCAGACATAGTTTGTCTTGCTGTCAGTTTTTGTAGAACTCACCTGCATGGTGCCGGAAATCGTCATACGCTCGCTGAGTATCTCATGCAAATGCCGAGTTCCCATTGTGTTTCGTAGAGTAGTCTGTGCCAGTAGTCTGGTCGAATGGTGAGCATTCTCCACGTTCGCTATAGAGACGGTTGCATTTGATACCCGATAGTAAACCACTGCATCCACCGAAACCGTAACGCTATCCTTTGTGAGCACCTACAAGATGCAGTGGGTGGAATTGTTTTTTTTTCTTTTTTCTTTTTTTTTTTTGTTTTTTGTTTGTCTCTACTATTTTTGTGCTTTCTTTTAGGATTATATTTTTTTGTTTTGTTGTTGCTCTATTGTTGCTTTGTTTGGTTATTCTTTTATTCAGATTATGCTTGTTATTGTTTGCTGCGACTGTGTACATATGAATATACATATATATATATATCTATGTGCTTATAAGCTGAAGTTTCCTGTATCTGTATCTGTATCTGTATCTGTATCTGTGCAACTATGTATGAATAATTCAGTAGCTTTTTTGCTTAGAATATGCACTTGACTCGTGGTCGTTTGCTTTATTAGAACTAAGTGCAGGGTGTAAACTTTCACGCCAGAAAGAGACGCACACAACACAACAGTGTCAGACAGAGACAGAGAGAGTGAGATAGAGAGAGTGAGAGAGAGAGAGAGAGAGGGAGAGGGAGGTGGTGTCATTGCTTTTATTTTGATTGTTTGCTTGTGTTTTGTATGTGTTTATTTTTTTCTCAAGTGCCTCAAGTGAAACATACACACAAAAGCCATTTTGCATTATTTTTGGGGATATTGCAGTTTGCATTTTAGATTGCGGATTTTCGGCATCTTGAGTCGAGCGCCGTTTTGCACACAGATATGAATGGATATATACAAGATACTTTTGTGAAGACAGCAGTTTTCTTATTTTTGTGTTAGGTTTTTTTGTTGGTTTCATTTTTTCATTCTTGTCTTTTTTTTTTGTGATATGAGCTCGATAGCGATACGTGGAGCAAACTCAAGAGCTTTGAAGTTACAGTGTATAAGATATAGGTATGGGTATATTGCACAAATCATATACATATATATATAGTACATATGCTGTTGTAGTACATACATATGTTTTCTTTGCTTTTTTTTTTTGTATTATATATATATAGGAAAACGATTGCAAATCAAGAGGCAGACTAAACGACGAAATCAACTTAAAAACCAAATGCGTTTAATTTGTTAAAGATATAACGAGTATACTCACAGAACAGATAGAGAAATAGAGAGAGAGATAGAGAGAGAGAGATAGAGATAGAGAGATGGGGTAGGGGTAGATAGAGAGAGGTAGAGAGAAGTAGAGAAATATCTATATATATATATATATATATAAATATACATACATATATATATACAGAGAGAGAGAGAGAGATATTGCGATAGAGAAATGTTTTCGTTTGTACAATGTCTTTGGGGAGGTCTTTTGATTATTTTCTGGGGGATTTTTGCGTTTTTTCTGTTTGTAATACGATTGCCTTTCCGGTTATTCTTTTCTCGCCCCGTTAACTCCAAGAACTCAAACACAAATTGAAGAAACTCAAACGCAGAGCCCATCAAAACTATTATTATTATTCGCATACAAAACAACGGCGGCAAAGGCAAGAGTTTTTCCTCTTTTTTTTTAGTGGGTGGGGGGGGGGGGGAGGCTGTGTGCACAAGTTGAGATGGTTTTACGACCTGGGCAAGATTCAGCTGGGCGATTCAGCTTGGACCGCGTCTAGACCACTTTTTATTGTGCTCTCTGGGCTTGGTGTCAATGTTGTTAAGTGTCGTTTGGGCCTGATGTGCTTGAGAGTTTGTTCCTGCTTTTCCACATCATCATAAAAATCAACTGAAATGCTTTAATGTTACCCAATGCACAACTGTGCGTATACTTTATATGCTTAAAGAGCTGTTTGCTCGACCAGCTTTCGGAGGGAGTGGTTGAAAAAGTTAGCATGCGGCTTGAATTTTATCAGCCATGAAAAACTAAATTATAAGCTATCTAAAACGAGGTCAAAAACTTGCCAACTAGTTTGGTTATCGTTTCGAGCTCTTTAATAGGATATGCACCCAAAGCTCTGAGTTGGTTTGAATTCTCCAAGAGCTTATTCTTAACCACAGCCATTTCTATTCAGTACTCTAAATCAATTTGCAAGAACAATGGCTTAAAATTCGAACAATAGTCGAGTAATAAGCCGGTGCTCAATATGTGTGTGTGAGTCTGTGTGTGAGTGTGTGTGAGTGTGCGATTGTGTTCGTGTGTGTGTATAAGTGTTTTTGGGATAGTAGGTGGAATAATCGGATGATAAACTGCAGTTGTTGTTGTGTGTGTGTGTGTGTGCATGAAGATTAAATGAAGGAACAATGCGATGTAAGTGAACAATAGTTAAAGAATAATAGATTCAATTAAATTTATACACTGGGCAATAATCTCATTGATGTTAATTGGAAATAAATGGAGTTGATTTGATTTCATTTTTTGCATTTTGTATTTTGAATTTAACAATTTTGCATACATATTCGTTTATACACTGTAACAGCTAAGCTAATGAGCTTCGAAAATATATATGGTATATAATTATTATCATTTATTACAATTTGCAGAGTTCGATTTGTTTCCGATTTCGATTTTGTTTTCAATTGGATATCGTTTTTTTGTTTGTTTGTTTTTTTTTTTTTTGTAAATCATAGTTCAACTGAAAATTATACATCTAAACTGGATGCACTGACTATAGTGAGTGAGAGATAGATAGAGATAGAGATAGAGATAGCAATAGAGATGGGGAAAGAGATAGAATTTGAAAGACTGAAGGGAAAGAAAGAGGGCAAAGTGATTTTGCACAATGGCATCATCGCTGTGAAGCCGAAGTAATTCAAGTTGATTGATTCTATATATATGCTATATAATATATATGCTGTAGTTCTGCTACCTTCTAAAATGGTTGCTCTAGTCTAACGGTATTTTAGTTACTGTTACTTTTAACTAGTCGTTGGCGGGCGGCGGCGGCACTTTTCTCATTTTACATTTTTCATGCGTGCGATTTTCTTTTCTTCTTTTTTCTTTTTCGATTTGATGTTTGTTTATTTGTTGATAGTTGTAAACGAGTTAAACGAGTTAAACCCACATTTAAACAGCCTAAACCACGCAAAACACACATAGATGAACTCGACATGGATTGCTTGCTTGATATTGATACGTATATATCTATATCTATATATATATATATGTATATATATGTATATATATAAATATATTGTATACTGGTGTATAGATATATATGCTAATTCATGATATATCTCTCATTGTTTGTTGGGGTGCGTACGTTAAAGCGTCCTTCGCTAGTGCTCGAACAGATCAAATGTTAACGGTTATTTAGTTAGTGGTATAAGTATATATATAATATACGAGTATAAATCTTTGTTTGGTTTTTGTTTGTCGTAACTAAAAGCATTGTGTATGTCTGAGTGTATGTATGAGTGTTAGTTAGTGAGTAGTGAGTGAGTACTAAACTTAAGTCTGTACATTTAATATGTTGAATGTGTTTTTGAATCTCGACTCATTTACGGCATGATTTATGTACTTGTACTTAATTTAAACCAACAAATACATATTAATGTTTGTGTATATATGTGTGTGTGTGTGTGTGTGAGTACGAGTTTTAAGAAATTTTCTTTTTGGTTTTTTATTTTTAGTTTTCACAGTTAGAAAGCTTTTTAGAATAGACATTTATGGAAATATATACTTAGCATGCTCTCAAAAATTATTCGAACTCTTAATCGAGAGGAGGGAGAGTGGGGGTGTCAAAAAGTAAGTGCATTTGGTAGTTTTGTGTAATCTATTTTATTATTTTGTTATTTTTTTGTCTTAAGGGTTGTTTCTTGGTTTTTGGGTGGTTTTTGTTTTTTGTTTTTTGGTTTCGGTTTTGGTTTGGTTTCAGATAACAAAAACAATTGTTTCGCTAAACAAAACGAACATAGCTCAAAAAACAAAATCAGTATATATATATTTAGGTATATATAGAGTTAGATATAGAGCGTGGGGTTAGATAGACAGAAAGAGACACAGAGATAGTGATAGAGAGAGAGAGAGAGATAGGGGGAGGGAGAGAGAGTGACGGAGAACTAAACAGTTTATTAAACTATTTAGTGTTTTGTTCGAGCGGGCGAGCGAGCAAGATAGAGTTAAAATTACATAGAGAGAGAGAGAGAGTAATATATATAAATATATAAAGAGAGAGAGATAGAGAGAGAGAGATAGGCAGTTGAGGACGCTTTGTGTGCATTTAAGTGGTTAAAGGTATTTCAATAATGAATATTGTGTGGCTTTTGCTTTCTGTTGCATACGTTGCAGCTACACAAGACCTAAGCCTGTGGTGTCTGTGTGTGTGTAGGTGTGTGTGTGAGTGAGAGAGAGAAAGAGAGGGGGTGTGTGGGTGTGTGCGGTTGGTACAGAGTGAGAGCGTGTGTGTATTTTTACCCTGTGTTCAGTGAACAAACATTTTACATTCGAGCGAGCCAATTTTTGGTTTGTGCTGTTCAGTTTAGGTTTTTTTTTCATAATTTTTTCATATTTAATTTTTGATTTGCCCCCCTGGCCCCCGCCCACCAATTTTTGAGGGAAAGAAGAGAAGTAGTCTGTAGTGCATTTAGGTGCTCCGCTGAACACAGAGAATCAGAGATAGATAGACAGAGAGAGAGAGAGAGTTTGATAGAGAGAGAGAGTTGAGTTTCAGTTGATATGCTTTTGAGCATTTTTTGCTTTTCATAATTTTGGTTGGGTTGCTTCGTTTTCTAATTGCAAGAACACAATCAGAGTTGTACAACTATGCAAATTGTAATAAGTTGAAGTTAAAGACACGTAGCAACTTAAATAAAGATTGTACATAAATTATAAATGAACTCACAACATCCACGATATCATTTCGTATGCACTTTCACACAACAACAACGACAACATCAAAATCGACAACAAGAAGACTTCACATCGGTTTAAGAACACAAGAAAAATAAATAAATAAAAAAAGAGAGAAAAAAGAAAAGGGTTCAGTTCTGTGTTGATTTAGTTTCTGTGTGGATGCTGAGGGCATTGCCGCAGTGTCCTTCATGCGTTTTAAGCAAACAGAAAAAGGGAATTCAAAACCAACTGAACTAAAAACAGAATGGAAAACGCTGTCGAAAGTAAGTTGCAAATGTGCACGAGAATCCATAAAAAATAAATGAGAAAAACAAAAAGAAAATAACAAAAAAATGATTATCTAAGTTTGGGGTGGAAAGAAGCAGCGGCAAATGGATAATTTCGTTTCGTTTCTTTTTTGCCTCTGGTTTGCTCCACGTGACGTCGTAATTTAATATGGTTTTAGTTTTTTTTTTCTCTCTCCAAGATATAAGTAGTTAGTAGATTAAACTTTGCCACGCAGTTATGCAATGAGTTAAAGTAATAATAAATGAATCTGGGCACATTGAAAAATAACTTTTTAAATGGAGACTGGTATTTTTGTGTAAGAGGATTGTTAGTTTTTTGTCTGTATGTGTGTGTGTGTGTTTGATGTGGTCTAGTGACAATAATAATTATAATTAAAGCTGCAATATTTAACAACAACGAGTACAATAGTTAAATAGCTTATTAAACATACAACAGATACAGCAAGACTACCAACAACAACAACAACAATAGAGTCTCTGTGTGTGTGTGTGTGTGTGTATATCAAAATGCAAAAGAAAAGTGAGCAAATGCAACAAGAATGTAAGTAAAGCTGCTGCTTCAGCTTGTTATCAACTATTTGCTGTTGTTGCTGTATGTGTGTGTGTGTGTGTGTATAACAGTGTCTCTGTGTTTATCTTTGTGTGTGTGTTTGTGAGTTGTGGGGGGGCTCAGGAAAGTATCTGGTGAAAAGTAGTGGCAGTTAGACAGAGAGCGATAGATGTATAGAGTGGAAAGCTGCTGCAGCAGAGCAGAAAGAACACAGTTACGCAGGAAAACGCAAGTCCAAGAAACACAAGAAAAAAAACACAAATCAGATATGAAAGCCAAAGTAAACAGCATGACATGCGACAACAACAACAAGAACAACAACAGCACACACAGCAAGAAAAAAAAGAAAACACACACATACACACACACACACACACACACAGAGAGGTATGCCAAAGGAAACGTAAAGAAAGGCAAAAAAAAAGAACGTTGCGTATGCGTAATTCACGCTCTAGTTGCGTATCCTGTGTGTGTGCAAGTGTGTGTGTGTCTGTCTGTCTGTGTGTGTGTGTGTGTGTGTGTGCTTCGTCAGCAAAATCAACACAACAACTCTGTGTGTGTGTGTGTGTGTGTGCGTTGGACCAACACAAATCAAAGAAATTGTTGGTTAACAAATTGTGTGTGGCTTGGAATAAAACATGTGGCGAAGCTTAGAGTTTTTTCTTTTTATATGTTTTTTTTTTCATTTTTAACTTGTTTAGTTTAGATAGTGTTGTGTGTATGTGTGTGTGTGTGAGAGAGAGTGTGTGAGTGTGTGGGTATACATTAGCAACAACCAAATATGTCTAGAGTATATATAGTTGTTGCTGCTGTTATATATCTCACTTACCTCCTGCGGCGGCACATCGTAGGTGCGAGTACGCAGATCCACTCGTGCATACGAGTCAATGCAAGGCAGGATGAAAAAGATGCCTGCAGAGAGGGAGAGAGAGAAAGAAAGACAAAGAGAAAGAGAGAGAGAGGGAGAGAGGGAAAGAGAGAACGCATAGAGTCATGAATTATGTGGCAAGCGAGTACAGTTGTCGGCCAGTTTGGTTAATCTGCGACAAATGTGTCGGCAAAATCACTTAAGTGTTGCGGCAACCAAAAGCTGTGCGCTAATTTGGAGCAAGTGCAGCCATTAACACAAATTCTCGTCGCCAACCAACACACTCAAATTTGCATAGGCAACCAAACACCAACCCATCCCCAACCCCCCGTGTTCCCATTACTCACCTGGACCCTTTGCACCACCCTGCATAAGGCGACCCAAACGAAAGATAACTGCGCGCTCGTACTCCTGCACCACCTGCAAAATGCGAGCAAGACAAAACAGAAAGAGATGCAGAATGTATATAATAGAGAGAGACAGAGAGAGAGAGAGAGAAAGAGAGAGTGGCAGAGAGGCTGAGAGAGAGCGGAATGAAATTGAATAGTGGCCAAGAAGAAGCGGCCAAAAACCTGCCACAGCCACAAACGGCAGCGGATGCATTTCGCATGATATCATCTAAAAGAATTGCATTCTCCAAACTGATGGCTGATGGGGTTTTAAACCATGATTTATACTTGCAGATATTTATCTGCTACTTTTTCTGTTGCTTGTTGCGATTTAAACTATATTTTTACATTTGCACTGCAAAGAAATGGAGAACTGATTTAATCTAAGCAAATTATGTGTTTTTCTTTACTGTTCGCATTTTTTGTCTTTGTTCAAATATTTACATTAGTTTTAATGTGATGCTAATCTGTGAAATAAGCTCTTTATATGAATGTTCATGGCTTCTGCATGTATGCAAAGAGAATTGTATTTGATGCATAAAAGTCAACCGCAGTTTTTTGTTGATGCACAATAAACTATTAAGCTATAAATACTAGGGACATACTACAGATATTTATCTGCTACTTTTTGTTCTGTTTGTTACAATGGTAACTATTATTTTCTAAATTAATTACTTCAAATAAGGTACTGATTTAATCTAAGTAAATTACTTTTTTTTTAGTTTAGTGTTGGCATTTGTTCTTGTCGGCTTTAATCTGATGCCAATCTATGAAATATTTGCAATAAATAAATGTCAATGGCTTCTAAACCATTAAATTTATTTATGCATACGAAAATAGTGATATCCGATGAATAAGTTAAAAGCTATAAGGACTACGACTGACTATTAACTCACTTACAACTGTAATAAATAAATTTTGTTTGGGTTAAAAATAGTAGCAGTAGTAGACTTACCTTGAAGCAGACGAAGAGACTGAAGGGCAGCGTCATTATCACAAGTGCCACGGATAAAAATATCAGTAACTTGCCGCATGTTGAAGCTTTGTCGCTGATTTCCTCGTCCGCTGCGGGAAAATTGCCCAAGAATACAGAAAATTATAGCGCAAAGTGGCAACAAGACAACAGTATAGAGATAAATGCTGCAAATTACGCTTCAGTTATACACACAAAATGATCAGTCCATTTATTTTATTTGCAATTCAAATCGCGTTTGCCAAAAATCAAAAAATGTATTTTAAATTTCACAAAATCACTCGCTTTAAGTTTAGCCAAAAATTCAAAAAAATTCTGTTCAGGGCAACAAGTCGCCCATTTGGAATCCCGAAAGGTGCTGTGAGAGCCATGTATCAGTCAAAAGAAGCAAAAAAAAATAGTTTACACTTTAAAAAGAAAACCAAAAAAAGGATAATGTGAAACTGTAGCATACTTAAGTTAAGAGCGCGCGCCAGTTGGCCATAAACAAAATGGCTTACAAGTAGAAGAGTGAGATAAACACTTGATAGAGAAATAATCGTAGATTATTAAAAGTTAAAGCGTAAGTTGTAAATTGTGTGTGTGTTGTTGTGTTTTGATTTGTTTTAGAGGATGTGGGGAATTATGTTTTTGGTTTTTCTGTTGTTTTAGTTTTTTTTTCGTTTCATTTTTTTGCTTTTGGATTTTTCCAAATTAGTGCGACTTACAATAGAGAAATCCATGTGAATGTTTTGCTTGTGTATCTGCAAGAATACGATAAACCAAATGAATTGTAAAAATTAATTGGACTAGGGAATGGACATGGTTTGCTTCTACTTTTGTGGCTTATTTTATTTTTTTGTTGTTGTTTTTTTTTTGGTGGTGGAGCCGGTGTCTGCTGCATGCAAAAGCCACTAATTAGTGAACTGAACCAAACTAAATGTAAAATTCGAATGAAATCATAGATGATGCATGCCATGCCTGTTAAAAATGAATGCTACGAGTACTCGTATCGTATTTATGCTTGCACTTTTGCAATTGCAATTGAAATTTGTGGTTTTTTCTTTTTGGGATTGTGGCAATTAGTGTTGCTGTTTCCATTTCCGTTTCAATTACAGTTCATCGAGAGCTTGCAACAAGACCCCAGTCGCAGTCGTAGTGGCAGTGGCAGTTGCAGAGCTTCAAAGTGCTTTTAACGAGCTGCATTCGCACAAGCAGACAAACAGAAATTGTGGCTCTGTGAAACTCTCGCAGTTGCAATTTTCGCTCGGCAACTTTGATGATTGGAATGTATTTGTGTGGTGGCACCTAAAGAGGACACGCTAAGCTAACAAGCTGTTAAAACCTCCGCCCCGCCCTACACCCCCCCGGTCACACCAAACAAACTTTTATTGAAATTGATTTCAAAATAATTGCAATGGCGTTGACGTCAATTTAAATGTGCGGATGGGAATGCGGATGCGGATGCGGATGTGGATGTGCGAGTTTGCAGGGTGCGGATGAGGAAAGTATTTTTGTGTTGCTGCTGCTGACAAATGAAGGTCTGTTACAGTGTGTGTGTGTGTGTGTTAGTGTGTGTATCTGGTAATAGATTTATAGCCAAAATGGGATACCTTTCGTGTTGAGTTCAAAATGTAATTAGTTGGCATGAGTGAGCGTATTTCAAAGTAAACGAGTAAAGTATTCGGGTGTATAGGTATTTAAAGCGTACATTTTAAATTAATTTCAAGTGAAGACCCTCCATTTAGCACCAAATAAAATAAAGCCCATAGCTTAAGAACAAAATGAGAGATGATCATAATTCTTGGATATAATCTCGCTGCTTAATTCACAGCGTGGGCAGCCAGTATGGCCATAATTTTTTGATGACTGGCCAGGCGTCCAACTACTGCCCACTTGCACCTCCACTCCACTAAGCGCCCACCCACTCCCTCTCCCTCTCCCACTCCCCCTTCCCCTTCCACGTCCCCTTCCATTCCCAGTCGCATACGTCATAGCAACAGTGGCAGCAGCAGCCCCTGGCAAAAAAGCTTTGCGCTGAAAATGGGTCAACTTGTTAATGTTGTTGCTGTCTTTGGCGTTGTGGCTGTTGTTGTTGTTGTTGTTGTTGTGTGTGTGTATATAAGTATGTATTCTTTTTGTTGTGTGGCACTGATTGAATTTTGCATGCCAAATGTGAAGCGGCCAAAATGTTGCTGCCACGGAAAACCCCTTTTTTTTGTCAGAGCGCCTAATGAAGCGATTAGCGTGCATATGAAATGAAATAGCACACACACACACACCCACACTCCCACACACACAGGCACACTCTTGCATATTTGCATAATAAAGTTTAGCTTATTTGACTGCAAAAAGTACAGCTTGAAGCAAGCTTTTAGTTATAAAAGAAAGAAATTAATATTAAATACAAAACCTGCCAAATAGATACACACACACACACACACACACTCCCGCATATACCCCAGACAGATACACACATGAAAAGTTGTTTTGCTTGTTTTATGTTTCGTTTTCGTTTTCTTTTTTGTTTTTTCGATCAGTTGGCAGCCAAATTGCATCAATAAATTATGAGCCTGTTGAGCGATTGGGGAGCATTGTGCTGGCAAAAAGTGATTTGAAAGCGTTTTCTTTGTTATTGATATTGTTATTGTTATTGTTATTGTTGCAATAGACGCTAATGAAAAAACGCCATGATAAATAATGGTCGTCAAATGCAAAATGGCGGAAATGTATATTTAAAAAAAGTGTAGCATACTTTTTAGCGCAGTCACGCAACAAGTCCAGAGGAAATGCATATAAATTAGTAACTAGAATAAAACACAGAGCCCAGCATCAGCAGCAGCAGCTCAACTAATGTGGTATATACAATTAGGACTCTATACTATATGCATATATATACACTATATATATACTATATAGATTTATGTGTATACAGGCATTTCCCCTGGCGATTCCAGGAATTTGTTTATGTGCTCAACTCTCAACTTACCTCGTCGCTGCTCGGCTCTGTGTATCGCCTGCTGCTGATGCGACTGCTGCATAAGTGCATGATGACTGTGTGGCAGGGGCAACTGCTGCTGCTGTTGCTGTTGCTGCTGCTGCTGCGGCTGCTGGTGGTGATTTTCACGTTCTCTTAGCTGCGGAGGTGGCGGCTGCTGTTGTTGTTGTTGCATCACGGGTTGCTGCTGCTGTTGCTGTTGCTGTTGCATGACGGGTTGCTGCTGCTGCTGCTGCGGCTGGAGTTGGTGATGTTGCATGCTAGGCGTACCCGTTATGGGCAGCTGATGGTCCCTATCCCGATCCCTGTGCTCATTACTTGCTACGGCTGATGTTGATGTTGGCGCTGGCGCCGGTGGTGCAAATGTGCTTGTGCTTGTTGTGGCAACGATACGCTGCGGCTGCTGATGTCGATGCAGCTGATGATCCCGATGCTCCATATCCATCATCGAGTCCGGCATTAAGCCGCGCTCACAAAACGACGCCAGGGCGACGGATGTGGCCGCTGGCTCAAGCTGTGCGTCAAGCAGCCTCAAATCAAAACTCGAGGCTCAGGCCTCACACAAATTGCTGATGGTGGTGCTACTGGTGTTGGATGGTGGGGCAGTCTTAGCTTAGCTTAGCTTTCATGCATGACTCGCCGAGGAAGACAGAAATGATGCATGGCACACACACATACATACATACACACACACACACACGTACACGCGGTCACAGTTATACACGCGCACACTTTTCCACACTTTTGCACAACGGGTCGCAGTCGGAGTCGCAGTCAACAGCACAAATACATTGACAGAGCACAACAAATCCAGCTAGCTGACTGGCTGGGTTTAGTATGTATGCATGTATGTTGCACGCACACTCACGCACACAAGCACACACACACACACATACACACTACACTGAGCTAGTTTTGCTAGCACTCCTTCTGTCCACTCATACTCATCATCCTCATCATCATCCTGGGCTGGCGTCCTCTGTGTCCGTTGGCTGCTCCAAATGTTTTTGTCCCGTTGTTGTCGCTGCCTCGTTCAGAATCCAACTGAAAGTGCGCTGCCAGCACACATCCTTTTATAGGAGCTGCCACAGCCGCCACAGAAGCAGCAGCAGAGCTTTGCGTGAGAGGGTACAAAGAAAACTTTGTTATCAACGGCAAGCCGCAGCAGCAGTGGTCGAGAGGGAGACGGACAAATTGCTCAACGTATGCTAAATGGCAAATGATCAAAGAGCTTTTTTATTGCGTCGTTGCAGCTGCATCTGGGCTGCTGTTGCTATGGTTGCCATTGTTGTTGTTGTTGGTGTTGCTCTTGCATAGCTGCCCCTGCCAGCTTTTTACCTTTTCTCTTTTTGTTTCCAGCTTGCACTGACCTTGCGCACAATGCGACACGTTAACTATGCCCCGGCTTACAACTTCAGGAACAAAGCTTTCAGCAGGCGCCAAGCTTTCCTCGCCTGGGGAAATCCTTACAAAAGAGAGAGAGAGAGAGAGTGCGAGAGAGAGGAGGAGCCCCGAGAGAGAGAGAGAGAGAGAGCGGGAGAGAGTCAGAGTGAGAGTGGGAGCGAGAGAAAGTGAGAGAGTTGAGTTGGTAAGTTTTAGCACACGTTGTGCTAAAAGTTGTTGAAACAGTCGGAAAAAGCGAGTCGCTTTTTGTCACCTGTCTCGATTCGCGTGCACAGGTGACAAAAATGTATTTATGACATGCTGTTGCTGCTGCTGCTGCTGTCGACTCTTATTGTGGTATAGTATCACCCACTTGAGCGCCGCTTTTCAATTTGTGTGAAAACATCAATTTTTTTGTATTTGTTTACCGGCATGGAATGGATATGCGTAGAGCATCGACAACTCCTTATGATGGCACAGCCATGGTATTCGTTGGCATTCTAATGAACGTACTCGAATCTCTTGTCAAAGTGTCGCACATTTGGGTCACACATAAAGAGGGGGAGGGAGAGCTAGATGGGAGCAGTAGGGATTCGGCGTTGAGCCGTCAATTACCATTTACGCTTCATTAAATGCCACTCACACTCGCAACCAGGCCAAGTCTTTAAGAGGCACCCTCCTCTAGCCGACACTCCAACTCTGATGCTGGAGTGCCGTGTTAAATTTGGCACTACAGTGCGTATGAGTGTCGTTATGTGTGACATTTATGCATACACAATACTTTACTGCCCCCTCCACTTGAGGGTGCAGAACAGAGCAGAACAGAACAGAGTCGGACCCGTATCGTGTGGCACAGCAGTTAATTAATCTCAGTCATCTGATTAATGTACGAATTGATTTGGGCATCTCTCTCTCTTCCCTCTCTGTCTCTTTCTCTCGAGTGGCAGACAAATTGCCAGAATAACCTGAAATACTCCTCTGGTCGTCTAGAGCGGCAAAACATTCTCGAGCTTAATCATTGGGAATTTGTACACGTGTTGGCTCTCAAGGAATGCCTTTAAGCTGAAATTGTGCAGCTCAACTGGCTGACACTGAAATATATTGAAAATGCTGCTCGAAAGCATCCGCCTCCGAGGCACTTTTCGGCATTTTTATAGACAAACATAAAAAGGCGCTAAAGCACTTTGCGTATCGAAACAAACATTTCAGTTAACTGGCGGCACACAAACAAATCAAAGATGAAGACGAAGACGAAGGCGTTGCCAAAGCAAAAGAAAATAGCCCAAAACAAAAGGCACAAAAAAGGACATAAACAGATTTCTGACTGACAGCTGACTCAGAAAGAGAGAGAGAGAGAGAGAGAGAGAAGGAAAAAGACAGTTGATGGCTGTCACATATCGAAATGCGGCGGAGAACATGCAATGACAATGAGCAAAAGATGACAAAGAAGAAACAAAACGTTTAAGAAATGCCCTCAAAACAATGACAAGAAAACAGAGCTGAAGATGAAATGCCCTTCAAGACAGGAGTTGAACTGGAATCAACTTCATTTACGAAAATTCCAACTAAGGAGTATAGATGCTGATTTATATTATACAGAACTTATAAAGTTAAATTTTCTTTAAGATATCCTATCTATATGCATTTCAACAGCATTTAAGTCTTAGTTTAAGAAAATTAAAGATTTGAAGAACAAAACCACAATCGATGCTAGTCAGTCTGTTGGTTATTTAAACTATTGTTTCAATTTTATTATAGTTTCAGTTTTAGAGCATCAACCATTTCGTGAATTTCTTGTAACACCATCCAGGAGAGCAACAACAATCGAACTAGGCAGTTTGGTACGAATATCTTGATGGGTGTATCAACTATTCATGCATCAACTAAAGATGCTAATCTAAATTAAACAGATCTTATAGTCTCAGCTATGTCGGCCCTAAAGCACTAAACATTTCGTGACTCAATTATAATATCGTCCACAACAACCAGCATAAAGAAGCATAAAAGAAACTAGCCTAGTCAGATTACGAGTCTGTCAAGTGATGTGGCTAAAAGCAGATGCCAAAAGCTGCAGATGCCGTTTCACATGGAGGCCTAGGACTTTGAACCGCATGTCCTGCGGCGGTGCTCAGCAACTGAAATTAGCCAGGCAAATATGTCGCACTTAAATGCTAACGGAAGAACTGGCAAAAGCCTGTGGCAGAGATACCCAAAAACGGACACGGACACGTACACGCAGGCAGGCAATGGAGAACAGACGACAGGCGACAGACAGGACACAGAATGTCCTGGCATGGCAATTGCCCAGGCCCAACGGGAGAGTGTTGGTGGTGCAGGATGCTGGGTGGGTGCTGGTTGGTTTCTTGCGCCTTGTAATTGTTGACGTTTGCGCTTTTTGTCGTTGCTGGGTGGCATTGGGTGGCTTGGGTGGTTGGCTTGTGACTTGTGCCACAAATGCGTCGAATTATTGTCATATGAGGTCACTGTCCCTGTCTCGCAGTGAAAGTTTTTGCCAGACACCCGCACACACACACACCCGCAAACACACACATTGGTTTGTTTGCATACTGAGTGTATTGTGCTGATTGTGGAAGTCAAGTAAATGTTCGCTTGAACAAGAGCTTGGACAACAACTTGTGCTTACAACTTGTGGCCTTGTTACACTTTTAAGTGGACATCCTAAACACATTTTGGGGCACAACAAAAAACTAGATAAATGCCAATTGGTCATACGCCCTGCGGTCCGTTCCATAAACTATTGCACTCATGAATAGTTGAGTAGCCAAGAAACCACAGCAGCTCTTCATATACAACAAAATAACATAAAACACTTATTGATTCAGTTGGACAAACTGTTGCACTCGTGAGCAGTTGAATAGCTTTAAAAGTTTAATCCGTTATTGATAGTTCATTTAGTAAAGTGAGCTGATTGGCAATTGTTTCTTTCCTCCGTTGCTGTCTTCTTTGGTGCCTCGTCTTTTCACTACTGTTCTCATAAAATATGGACGCACAGTGAAGCACTCATGGAACTCGACCGAAATGAAATATGCGCATTCAATTTATGAAGCCTGATTGGCCTCCAGAGAGAATGGTGGGCGGCATTTAATGCGCCTGCTTCGCCCGTCAGAAATGGTTAAAGTTGTATATTGTATACAGACAGGCAATCAGTGGCAGCTCACTAATTGCAGTCAGCTCTTGATCAAAGTGCCATGACCACTTTGAAGGCAGGCAGTTGTTAAGTCGCCCAAATGTCCGGCTTAGGGAAATGTTCAATCAATAATTCATAACTGCACATTGACGACACATTCTGTGGCAATAAAAATGAAAAGCGAAATGAAAAATGAAAAACGATGCTTGCTGCAAGGAGTCGAACCAATATTTTAGCGAGTGGCAGCCTCAGTTCGCAGTCGATAGTCCTGCTGAGGTCTTGCTTTTGATGCTGCCAACGCGTTGTCGTCCTGCCATTGGACATGAACATGGAATGGCTTTATCAATGCTGACTTCCTTGCCCCCAGTAACACTCACTCACATACACATACACACACTATACACTATACACTACACACTACACACTATACACACATACACGCATAGTAAATGAATGGCAGGCGGCGCCAACGGCAACAACTGCCATACAATTTATTTTTTCTTTTATTTTGAATACCCTTGAAGAGAGTATTTTACTTCAATCATCAGTTTAGTTCATTTATTTTAATTTTTAAATTACTAAGTACCAAGCATAATGTCTTATTATTTATTATTATTATTTGTAGTTAACTATCTTACTATTTGATATGACTTATATTGCATTTTGGTGATCTCTGATTTATTGCCTAAATGTGCAAAAAAAAGAAAGCAACATGTTGTTCTCTGCAAAATGTAAGCCATACTCAACTCAACTAAGCTGAAATGTCATTAATATAGTTAAAAAGAAAAACAGTTCAATCGAGAGCATTCAATCTTCGTCTACTGTTGATGCTTATTTTATTCTATTTTTTTCTGTTTTGTTTGACGGCTATCATTGCGCCTTTTTTTGTCTGCCTCCCGATGATGTCGTGCGGCACTGCGAGTGTCCTTTAATGTTGCCCCGAGCCATGAAATATTGATGCGAATATGTATCGGGGTGTGTGTGCTGTGTTTGACTGTCTTTATAAGGTCATATTGAAACGAGCGAGTGCCCATTTCATTGATTTGCTCGCAAGCCACGAGTAATATTCAACTCGAAAAGAAATGCTTGGTAATTGGCAACTTTAATAAGACTAGATGCTCATTAACTTTTCCGCAGGAAATCTAATAGCTTTGCCGGATTGCGCAACTTAGCCCCAAGGCAATAATTAATACGCTTGCGTAAATAGAAAAAGAGTGTGGAAAAAGAGTAGTTAACCAGATGTTGACCTAAATGGAAATTAATTAGGATATTCTCGCTGGCGGCTTTCACGCGAATCCAAGCTGAGTTTCACGATATTTGTATTTGTATTTGGATAAACCTGCCTTTACACACGTCATGCAATACAGGATTGTCAGCAAACGATGAGATTGGAAATGTGGATAAACAATTGAGCCAGTGGCAAAGTGGCAAAGGGGCACGTGGCAGGTGGCCGGTAGCAGGCGACAGCTGCATTCAGTCACATGCTGATAACGTGGCCAACTGGAAAATCAATTAAAGCGCAGTCCAGCAGACA